AAAAATGTATGTCTACTTAATGAAAAAAGACGCTGAACTGTAAAGATTAAGTTGCTGAAGAAGTCCCAATAAAGGGACGAAACGTCCAACTAAATCAAACATAGTTCTACTTCTTTCATGTCCAAGTTCCCTGTTAAATTTCATCATTAAAAATTGTAATTTTTGGACGAGAGAAATACTAAATAAATTATTTATAATTTTGATCTTATATAAAAAAAGAAAAAGAAAAAAAAAATAAAAGAAACATGACGTAAACAAGAATACAGATATAAATGAAAGAAAACATTATTTTTTAGTTAGGAAATAAACTTACGGAATATATTCGTGATTTAATTTGACAGCAACACTCTCTATGGTGGCAGTTGGAACAGTTTATGGTTGGACCACGACGAGCCTGTCGAAATTGATGTCAAAGGAGAGCGATGCACCTATGAGGATAACCGAGGACGAATCATCGTGGATCGTTTCGTTGACAGTGATCGGTTCGATGATCGGCCCATTTTTGGGTGCATACTTGGCTGACAGATACGGCAGAAAAAGATGTTTATTATTTTCGAGCGGTTTTTACATAGCCGGTTGGACGATAGTATTTTTTGCTAAATCAGTCTCAGCATTGTACGTTGCAAGAGTAATATTGGGAATTGGTGTTGGGGTATCGTACACGACCAATCCGATGTATGTGTCCGAAGTGGCAGATGTTAATATCAGAGGAGCCTTAGGTACACTGATAGCAGTTAACGTTTTCACCGGATCGTTATTGACCTGTAGCATAGGCCCATGGATCTCGTATCGTACATTGGTAATCGTTTTATTGACCATACCAATTCTATTCATCGTCACGTTCATCTGGTTCCCCGAGAGTCCGCATTTCTTAGCTGCACGTGGTCGCAAAACCGAAGCCTCGAGATCGTTGGCCTTCTTCAAAGGTATTCGCGATCAGGATGAGGCTAGGAGAGAACTTGAATTAGCTTTGCAAGCTGGCTCGAACGAGGACTCGAGGGATAACAACAAACTAGTTTTAGATAATAACAAAGTTGTAGGTGCAGGGGCTACTACTTCTTCTTCTATTTCTAACTCCTCGTCTACTACTGGCGTTAACAATAGAGCTAAAGAAGAATATGGTCTTAAGATTGTCTTGAATAAACTCAAACTAATGTTACTACCAACGAACAGTCGAGCACTTTGTATAATACTCGGCTTGATTGCGGCTCAACAATTAAGCGGTAACTTCAGTACGATACAATATTTAGAAGTATTATTCAAGCGTTCCTCGGTAGGCATTGATTCCAACATTGCTACGATACTCGTCTTAGCTGTTGGTTTGGTATCTGGTGCGTGTTCTACGGCAACGGTCGAAGGTGCAGGAAGAAGACCGTTACTTATATTCTCGACTATAGGATCCTCGATTACTTTGGCCATTCTTGCCGTTTATTTGATGCTCGATGCAAGAAAGTTTGACGTATCTTCTGCTAATTTTCTCCCGGTCGGTGTTGTTATATTATTTCAAGTTGCTTTTCAAATAGGATTGGGTACTTTACCGAACGCATTAATCGGTGAACTATTTCCAACCGAAGTCAAGGGTGTGGCCGGTGCAATTGTTACTGTATTCGATGGTGTACTCGGTTTTGCCGTATCGAAACTTTATCAAGTGATCGGTGACATACTCGGTGCTTATGCAGTTTATTATTTCTTTTCTGCTTCATGTTTGTTAGCTTTCCTAATGGTAACCTTTCTCTTACCCGAAACCAAAGGTAGAACCTTTCGCGAGATTCAACGATTATTGGCTGGTAATAATAATAATAATAATAATAATATATCGAGAAAATTATCGGCATCTCGTCGATCTGACCAATTGGATGACGTTAAAGCGTGACGGAAGTATTTGCACCGTGGCAATCACATTTTTTTGACCCGGTGCTTTATCGAATATTTCATTGTAATAATGATCAACATTCGACAATCGATCGATTTGTTTTTTAACCATCGTTATTTAAATACTCCATATTGTTCGTTTGTTAATAAAAGTATCTTTTCCAAAAACTATTCGTCTTGTTTTTAATCTACATACACACACATGTACTATAACACCACCACCACCACCACCTACTCATCACTCCTCCTATGTTTATTAATATAGAGTTAATTACTCGTGAATTATAAAATCGATATTGTCTTTACGCCAAAGGGATTGAAACGATTCCGAAAATAACTTTATCAAACTGTTTTATTATATTATATCGGTTTCGAAGTAAAATTCTTACGAGTATCGAATAAATGTTAATACATATTAATGATTTAATACGATCCTTTTCTTGATTTCTTGAAATAAGAAATTATGTTCACAATTTTGTTACAGTATGCAACATGGGACTTTCTTCTCATTGATTTTAAAATTATTTGTCTGTTGCATATTTTTTTTCGCTACCCAAAATTATCCGAAAATTTTTACAATCACGAAATCTTAACTATTATCAATTTTTATTTTAATCTTAAGAGAGATAAACCTTTGTACTATTTTTTCAGATCCTAATAACAATATAATAAGAAAAAAAACAAACATAAAACTATAATTCCAATGACTTCAGTGTAAAATACTCGAATATATCATACAAAGAGGTAACACAGATGCAACACGAGCAACACAAGGTTACTACTGATTGCAGAAAGAGAGAATATACTACTTCTATATATTACGTGGTCCAGATATAATGATAATGATCAGGAAATGATATCCCTCATTCTCTCTTTCTGCGTTGGAAGTTAAAATCTGGGATTACGAACGAAACAGGGGAAAAACGGAAATTGTCTGTATACTGAAGGATACAAAGTTTAATTAAATTGTGTCAGTTGAGTCGAAGGAAGTGGATATATATGAGTGATAAAAGAAGGGTCAGAGAGGAAAAGGGCAAAAGACTAAAGGGTTGGCGGGGTGGGGTAGGGGAAAGTAAAGGTAACTGATTGGGAGTTCTACTTTGACTTGTTTCAATGATCGTTGTTAACCGGAAATCAAGACATCGAGAAGATGGTTTATCGATGTACGTTGTCATAGTCATTGCTGCTGTTACTCATGTTGTGTGGTGGTGGTGGTGGTGCTTCCTACGTTTATAAGCGAATATTAAGTTACCTTTGTTAGACTTGAGTATTAATAAAGGGGACGCATCGTTGCCCTATGGCAACATGTAATTTGTGATTTCAAAGGATAATGAGATCGAATATATACACGTGCATAAATGTATTTAAGTGTGTGTATATATATATATAAGTATTTACATACACGTACGTAGATTTGTATATACTCGTTGTTTCAAATCTGAAGTTTTCATCTGAAAATTTTATTTCCACTAATACATGTATATATGATATGTATGCATTTACTTGAGATTAAAAGAAATAGTCTGATATTGATCGGATTATGTGATAGTATTAGATATTTAAAATCCTTCGTAATGAGATTCACTATTATAACGTAGATGTAAGGAGCGGATGTACATTCTATCGTAAAAGTTTATTATATTGCATAAACTTAAAAATACATTAATTTATACACATTTTTCTTTTAAATAAAATATTTAAATATATACAAAAAGAAAGAAACAAAGAAGATAATATAAATCACCACAAAACTATCGTCTGTTTTTATATTAAAAAAAAAAACAAAAAAAAAAAGGTATTAAACAGTAATAAAATTATGCCAATATCGAATGCACTTTTATATTAAAAAAAAAAAAAAGACAAAAAAAAGTTGAGCAGATAGAAATGTTCTTTTTTTTTTTCTTCTTTTTTCTTGCCCATAAATGAGAATAAGAGTAAATGAAAAAAGAAAAAAAAGGAAAAAAAAACGAGAAAGAGAGATAGGACAATTACTTGGAAAGAGAATATGCATTTGGAACGCTCTCACTTTAATTGCAAGAAGAGAAAAGTGCAAAAGAAGGAGGAGGAGAAAAGAGGGTAAAACTTTCGTAGGGTGGTGTACATATCTAAGGGGGTAAAAGCAACGTAAAAATGTTGAAAGTTGGTGGTGGTGAAAGGCTTAGTGTATATTCGATTCGGAAAAGGGATTACGTATTTTAAATCGGGAAATGTCTTGCACGATTACCAACTTAAGAGTCTTACCTTACTACCATTTGGTACCGTTACTTTTCATTAAATGTTTCTACCTTTTTATTAAATCGATATCAAAATGACGTTTTAAAATATTACAACAATAACGAATATTTTTACGATATAATTTAATCAGATTTAATAACTGTTGTCAAAAATTTTGCAAAAATGATTTTATCTTTTCACACCCTTTGCATACGAAACTTTTTTTGTTCGTTCGTTTGTTTCTTTCTTTCTCATTCTTTTTTTATATATCACTCGTTTATTTTTCTTTGTAGAGACAATCGACTTGTTCAGCGAACAGTTATGAAAAGTAAAAGAAAAGAGACAGAGAAAGGAGAAAGGGAGGAAAAAGAAAAAAAATTAAAAAGGAAAACTAAATGAAAAAGGATTTTAAAAACGAACACAAAAAAATATTTTAATGATAGAGAAAAAGGAATAGTATATATAATATAATACGCGTAAATATAATAAAAGGGATTAATGAAAGACGCGGAGGTAAACGTTCGCGAAGAAAAGAACAACAAAAATTAATAATATGAAAAAGGACAAAGAGAAAAAGGGGTAAGAGTCCTTGGAAATAAAAATAGGAAGAAAAGAAAAAAGGAAGATAAAGATTTACAAGTTTGTCGACCGCCCTTTCCTCCCCTCGCGAGTATTTTTCTTTCTTTCTTTTTTTTTGTTATTTCATTTTGTTTGTTAAGACGAAGCGAAGAAATAAAAAGGTCTCGTTTATCTCAACTCTCGCTACCTCCAATTTCCTCTAGCAAGGATCAAGGATTCGAGGGGTTGAAGGGAGAAATACGGGAGGGAAGGGGGAGGAAAGGGGTGAGGGTGTGCCGCTGATGGCCTCGTTTTACGGCGTCCCAAGAACGTTAATTCTCAGCTAGTCCTAATCCAAATCACATCTCTACCAGCCAATCGCCATCGTAAATTTTATATTCCACCATGGGAAATTTCCTCTTTTTCCACTTTCTTCTTTTTTCTTCTTAATTCTTTATTTTATCTTTTTATTTTATTTCGCGAAAAAGTTCTTATCGGTGAAACGTTCTTTTAGTCCCCCCCCCCAACCCCCGTTATTTTTGTTTGTATGTCTTTTATTAGTCTTTTTTTTTGTTTTTTTTTTATACCAATGTAAAGTACCCAAAGATATACGCGTGCAAAAATAAATGGGATCGAGGATGTACAAGCAAATAAATTAGGAAAGAAAATATTATATTAATCCGCAAATGGTTAATTATATCATTATCTATTTTCTATACTTTTGCATTTTTTATTTTTAAACGCGTTTGTTAATTTATCGTTAAAAATCGTCAATCTACATAAAAAGAAAGAGCGTGAGAGAGAGAAAGAGAGAAAAGATAAATGAATGCAGATTGATGGCTAAATACAGGGTGGGCTAAAGAGTTGTTTCTTTTTCGTTTTTTTTCCAATTATAATAATAAATCAATATATGCATATTAGCTTGACCAATAAATTAATGGACTTTTTTAACACGGATCTATAGGTACGAGTATTT